CCTCTAAATTGCTGTCCACTTTGCTCCGTATAATATAGAAAATAAACGTATAAAATACATTTTTATAGTAAAATTACCGCCAATACAGTTTTAAAACAAAATGACTAACAATGCATTTCATAGTAGAATTACCAACAATACATTTCAAAACAAAATGACTAACAATGCATTTCATAGTAGAATTACCAACAATACATTTTAAAACAAAATGACTAACAATGCATTTTATAGTAGAATAACCAACAATACATTTTATAACAAAATGACTAATAATACATTTTACAGTAGAATTATCAACAATACATTTTATAACAAAATGACTAACAATACATTTTATAGTAGAATTACCAACAATACATTTTATAGCAAAATGACCAACAATATTGTAGTTGAAACTATAAAATTGTGTTTAAAATATTTAGATTTCGGCATTAAATAACCCATAGAAGTTATGAAAGTGTAAAAATACATTTTTATAGTAAAAGTACCAGTAATACATTTTTGTATAAAAAAAGATTTAAAAGCAATGCATATTTATATTAAAATTAGTAACGATACATATTTATAGTAAAATCATCAGCAATACATTTTTAAAACAAAATGATCAGCAAAACATTTTATATCAGAATTTTTAAGAACAACATTTTATTTAGTTGGAGCCATAAAATTGTGTTCAAAATATTTACAGGTTGATATGCCGCTATACAAAATCAATCAATCGTGTCATATCGTAGGAGGGAGAGAAATGTTTGTTTTCAGATGTCTTTAAACAAAATAATTTGGCTTCTCATTCGATTTGTGATGGTTTTCGCAATTTCTCTAATAGTTTTTCGTTTACGGACTGATTGATGTAGTCTTACAAATAAGTTCTTACCAGTTTGGTTTCTTTTATGGACGTGACAGCTTTCATGTATAAGATGAAAAGAAGTTTCCACCTTCAAATTGATTGGTACTATGCCCTTTTCATAAATAAACCAATAAAAGGATTCTTACCAAAATTTCTTGAATATTTATTGGAGCATAAATGTGTTGTCAGTAAATATTTGGTATGGAATCAGATGGTATGTTTCTCTTGTTTTTTATTCAGTAGCCGAGTAGTGATGTTAATGTGCGGTTGACCAATCTCTTCACACGACTCTATGCAAAGTGGGATGGGCGACTGGACAAAACTGTTCGCTTTTCTCTGGTTTATATTTAGATGAGGTGAGTTATGTGCGATAACTAGAAAGTATAACAATAGTCCTTGATATTTCAAATCAGAAACAATGTCCCAGGTTTTTACAGTCGATAGAGATAAGTGTTTGCAGGATGTCTAAGAATATGAAGCTTTTATTGATCGTTACTATTTTCAACTCACCGTAAAGTTCCGGGTTTTACAGACGTACTCGGCGTGGTAAATCAATGAAAGAGAAAGAGAGATGAAAGATAGACAAATGTTAAATGATGTTTCAATTCTTGCCGCTGCTTGAAGTGTTAACAGGACAAGATTATGGCCTGTTGGAGCCTCTACACTAATGAAATTATACCCTACACCCACAATCAGACGGAATCATTATGTAACTATCCCGCACCTTTCTTGAATATTTTTTTTAATCGTTCAGAAATGTCTAAGCTATCATCTGTATGCAACCATTTTCTCAGAACCATGATTAAAAATGACTTCAAGCGTTCAAATCTCAAAGAAGATTATTCTTCATCAGAGTTCAGAGACTGGCGCTACAGAATCGCAACAAACTTTACCAAATAACAACAAAAAACATATCACTTAAATATTTCCAACTATAGCAACGAGTAAAATAATAGTACAAGTAACTCGAATAAAAAAGAAAAAAACATAATCAAGATGTTTACATTCCACAGTACCTTAAACAAAATGATAGAAAGGAAACTCCCATCAATACTAGAAAGGGTTATAACAGTGAACTTGAAAAGCCTATTTTCCTGAATAAATTCTAAATAGAAAATTTTACAATCTTTAATTTTCGTGTCCAAAAATATATATATATATATATATATATATATATATATATATATATATATATATATATATATATAGTTTATGCAAACTTAGGTAATCCGTATGGGTAGACCTGAGGAGGATGATATCCAGAGAGCTCAATGTAAAATTCAGAGCAGATATGTTTGAATAAAAAACAGACCACGTTAAGATTTTTTTTCTACTTTTGGAAGTAACGTCTGATGATCCAGAACCCTGTTAAAGGGGTTATGGTGAAATAACTTATTACATGGAATCTTAACGTGGTCTGTTTTTTTATTCATATACATATATATATATATATATATATATATATATATATATATATATATATATTATTTAGGAGGGACAGGATAGCCTCATCATCCAAGGTGAAAACGGTATCGACAAGCCATTTCACTATCTTGTCTAGAATGTCACTAAGAACCACAAGTGGATTTGTGTGAAAATGAATGCAACAAATTCGATCGCAATTCGAACTGTCTTCGCCGATTCCTCATTCCGGACCGCTATATTTAACGGCCCCGCTCCACGACATACTACGTGGCATTTTAGGACTAATTGGGAAGAAATAAATAATGTAATTCTGGGGCCGATTTTCTTAGGAAAAGTATATAAAATTCACGAAGTCCGGCCACACATATGAGACGTACAGATGTTACCAAGTCCACGTTACTGTAGCTGCTTATCTTGACGTCCCATTCACGTCCACAAGCAAAAAGGAAGTGTGCTGACAAACTACAAAGAGACCGCTCCAAACTACGGCAACACTGTTCACAGTAAGAACAAATTCTATCTAGGTCTTGTATCTCCCGTTACTACTAAGCACTCACACACGTACCGACTCTTTCACTTAAACACACATATAATAACATTTCACTGTATCTGGAATACGTACACAAATACAATTTATATTGGTTTGGTTTGGTTTACGGCATATAAACCTCAATGAGTTATTTAATGCCGACAAAATTTTATTGCTTGTAATATTTTTCTTTTCAAAAATGTATTGCTGGTAATATTTTTTCCCTTCAAAAATCTATTGCTGATAATAATTTTTTTACAAAGTATTTCTGGTATTAAAACCTATTTTTACACGTTCATAGTGTTTTCACCTTAGTTTGAGGGTTAACTGTTTGCCCTAAGTTGGGACCCTAACAGGTGCTACCACCCAGGGTCATGGGAACACCAGCAATTAAGAGGTGGTTCCACGCTTCACAAAGCCTCCTGATCAGAGGCCTGGCTGTTGGATGTAATTTATCGTCTAACCCAGAAAGCGGATGTAGTTTATCGTCATACCCAGGAGGGACAATTTATATTTTATTCCAGAACTTTATTAACCAAAACACGATGAGATTATTTTCAAATCTATAACCAACTTCTTGTATTCTTGTTATATTAAATTAATTTTTGTTTGTTGATACTGCGTTGTCTTTTTCTATTGAATTTCATTCTTTCAACGAAAATCGTGGGATTATTCTAAAGGGCCGAATTAGGAGCAATCCCATAACAATATTTTTAGTTATTAAATCGAATCCCGACACTCCAAATTTTGGCATTTAACAAAAACCCAAGTAGAGAGATTCTTACAATGTCATACACTCGTTTGCATTCCACAAGCACGCACTCCTGTAAAAGTCAAGTTTCAAAATGTAAATTAATTTTTCAGCTTATCAATTACAAATCTCACGCTATTCCTCAATCATTCATCTTCCGACGTACGGTTTAATTAATCATACGCCATTATTCCCGTGCTCTTCAAAAGCAATTACAAAGCCATAATTGCCGCGTGAAATGAAGCTTAAGCTGCTACTTTCGTTTTTCTATATCAGAAAGATCCTCGTAGACAACACAATTATAAAACAGAAACTTTAAAAATCCACGGCAATGTGTAACTCAGTACTAGGTAGAAAAGAAAAAAGAACATTGTGTCAAAAGGGCGGTTTTTCTTTTTACACTGTTAGTACCATTTACTCTCTCGCTGAACGATATTGTTTTAAAACGTTATTTGAAGAATTCTAATAAAACCATAACGCATGAAGATGCTCTACTTCGACGTGGTGTAATGGTTAACACGCTTGTCTTGATATGACAGAATAGTGAGTTCTATCCTCACTGGGGCTTTATACTTTTAGCCTTGTGCCCCATATAAGCAGCGCTTAAAAATCACCATATCGTATGAAAATAGGTATTTAAAAAAAACTCAATTTCTATGTATTTATTTATGTTTAATTAGATGATAAATTAATAATTTGTAAATAAACAATAAATAATAAATAAAAAAAAAATGTCAGTTCCTGGTGAAAATGCTTAAATTTATAAATTAAAAGGCTTAAATTTTTAAATTTAGATACTTAAATTTTTAAATTAAAATTAAAAACATTTAATTTTTTAAATTAAAATACTTCTAATGTCATGTTTTTTTTTATTTAATTAAAGTACTAAAAATAGCTAAAAGAAAAGAAAAAAGAAGAAAAGAAGAAAAGAGAAAAGACAAACAAAAAAGAAAAAACAAAACAAAAAACCCCAAAAAAACGAGAAAAGAAAAGAAAAAGCACTAAAGATTACCACGGGAATATAGAGTAATAGAGAAAAGCCTCCTTTCGATGCACCTTTTTTTTTTCATTTTTGAGTAACTTAAATTTCCGCCATAACCACAAATACTGAAAACCATATTCCCGAGAAAATTAAATCAAATATCTTTCAGCTTTGAAACTAATATGTTAAATGAATTTAGTAATTAATATATTCACATGCCATAACTGTACACAACTGTACACAACTGTACACAACTGTAAGCGGCTTGTAAGAGACACCGTCAAAAGGTTCTAAATATGTTTCAAACTTATAACTTTCTAGATACCAAATATCATGTGGGAAATTCAATAGATCGAAATGTTCTTCAATTCCAAATCCGTAAGATATTCCGTTTATGAAATAGACCAATACAAGTAGAAAGCATTCGAACGTGTAGACAGTGTATATACACACCAGAATAAAACATATGTTACGTTCAATTCAAAAGAAAATAATTAAAATTCACAAAAAAAACCTCGACTGTGCTTCTATCTATCTATCTATCTATGTATACTTAATGTCTCTCAGTTTATTCATATCTATCTATCTATCTATCTATCTATCTATCTATCTATCTATCTATCTATCCTTAATGTCTCTCAGTTTATTCATATCTATCTATCTATCTCATTCTTTTCATATCTATCTATCTATCTATCTATCTATCTATCTATCTATCTATCTATCTATCTATCTATCTATCCTTAATGTCTCTCAGTTTATTCATATCTATCTATCTATCTATCTATCTATCTATCTATCTATCTATCTATCTCATTCTTTTCATATCTATCTATCTATCTATCTATCTATCTATCTCTATATATATATATATCCGTCAATCTATCTATGTATCTAGGTCTAGTTAATCTCTCTCTTAGTCTATCCATATATATATAGATCTCCCACCGTCTTTCTAGCTATCTATTTATCTATGTCTACTTAAATCTCTATTCTATCTATCTATCTATCTATCTATCTATCTATCTATCTATCTATCTATCTATCTATCTATCTATCTATGTTGCGCTAAGTGTACCGCTCCATTCGAAGTTACAATGGAATCTGTCTTCGCTACACCGGAAAGAAAAAAGAAAATCTTTAAGTTTGGTCGATACCGGGAAACATCAAGGTGGCTTGTCTTTCAGTTTTGGCTCAGCAAATAAGTTTTCTAAAATACCAGTCATATATATATATATATATATATAGATAGATAGATAGATAGATAGATAGATAGATAGATAATAGAGAGGAGAGAGAGAGAGAGAGAGAGAGAATTAATACAAGTAAAAGTTTCTCATTTAGCTGATTGATGTTGCCGCAGAGGACGAAACACGGCGGCTAAATAAGTTTGTTTTTTTGTTTTTATATATATATATATATATATATATATATATATATATATATATATATATATATATTACTTAACAGAGATATCCAAAATTACCTTACAGTATAGACTATTTCAACTCACATCAATGAGTTAGCTTTATTCAATTCAAATGGAGTTGAATAAAGCTAACGCATTTACGTTAGTTGAAATAGTCTATACTCATAAGGCCATTTTGGATATCTCTGTTATGTAATTTATATGCTCTGTTATAATAAAGACATTGAGCTCTTTTTGTGGATCAATTTTAATATTTGATATTATTTGGATCCACTTGGATTATATGCCAACAAATTTATTACCTGTACTATATATATATATATATATATATATATATATATGAGATGGAACAAATACATTGAGACAATTGCTTCGTCCACCGCAAGGAAAGTTGGCTCCCTGTGCCGCGCCAGGAAATTTTTCTCCCCGGAATCGATCCTTCAGATCTACAAATCAACAATTCGCCTTTGCATGGAGTATTGCTGCCATATATGGTCTGGAGCCCCTTCTGCTTGCCTCGGGGTTCTTGATAGGCTCCAGAGGCGGATATGCAATATATTTGGCCCTATTCTGGCATCTCATCTGCAGTCACTCTCTCACAGACGCGCCGTCGCCTCTCTCTGTCTTTTTTTACAAATACTTTCATGGTAATTGGTCCGAGGAGCTGCATTCGCTGGTTCCCAGACTTCGTGAATTCAAGCGCCCTACGAGGCTGGCATCCCACTCAAATCCTTTCACTGTCGAAACTATTAAATGTAGCCGTCTCTTCTACTCCAATAGCTTCATATCTCGAACCGCTCGCCTGTGGAACTTCCTTCCCTATTCCAGTTTCCCTGAGAGCTATAATCGCCAACTATTCAAATGTAATGTCAATCGACATCTCCAGTTACCTTGATCTATCCACTATCCTTCTCCTCATTCTTTTCTCTATCATTCCTATCTGAAATCTCCAATCTTGCTCCAAATCTTCTGTAACCCCTTGCGTCCTAGTGGCTTCCTGCCTTGCTTGCTTGGGTGCTTATATATATATATATATATATATATATATATATATATATATATATATATATATATATATATATATATATATTGTGTGTGTATTTAGGCAGCATTTTTCATTGATGCATATTTCATTAAATAATATATACAAGTTTTGTCTATTTATTTTACGCAAATTTCTTTCATATCGTCTGATAGGGTTAATAATATTATCATTAAAAGAGGAAAGAAAATCACTATATTGATACATGTTTTTTTTTTTAATCCTATCTAAGCTTTTGGCTTACATAAGACATTATCAAAGATGACATTTACATTACAATAAATTAAACAATACACGGATATGGCACCGATGATCTGTTTTTGTTTGCATGGAAGATTTCCAAGCAACGAAAAACTCGTGCATATATGTATGAATAAACACAAAAAGAAAACTCAGGTTAATTTTCAGACTAAATATTCTGCTTCGTCCTGGGTGAGACGTTAAACTACATCCGCATCCTGGGTAAGACGATAAACTACATTCGTGTCCTGGGTAAGACGATAAACTACATCCAGCAGCAAGGCCCATGATCAGGAAGCGTTTTTAGAAGCGTGGGACCACCTCTTAATTGCTGGTGTTCTCAGGTCCACCCTGAACCAGGGTGGTATTACCTGTTAGGGTCCCATCTATGGGCAAATAGTTAACAGCAATACTTTTTTGAAAAAAATTATTACCTGCAATACAATTTTGAAAGAAAAATATTAGCAGAAACAGATTTTTAACAAAACAAAATGTTACCAGCAATAAAAAATGTTGCTGGCATTAAATAACCCATTAAGATTGATATGTCGTAAAACAGAATAAACCAAACCAATCTAAACCAAAGAATACATATTCTATTCATATGAATCTATCCTAAAAATGTTGTCAGAATTAAATAACCCATTGAGGTTGATATGCTGTAAAAAAAAAATAAACCAAACGAATCTAAACCAAAAATACATACTCTATTCATACGAATCTATCCTAAAAATGTTGTCGGTATTAAATAACCCATTGAGGTTGATATGCCGTAAAACAAAATAAACCAAACCAATTTAAACCAAAAATACATACTCTATTCATACGAATCTATCCTAAAAATGTTGTCGGTATTAAATAACCCATTGAGGTTGATATGCCGTAAAACAAAGTAAACCAAACCAATTTAAACCAAAAATACATACTCTATTCATACGAATCTATCCTAAAAATGCTGTCGGTATTAAATAACCCATTGAGCTTGATATGCTGTAAAACAAAATAAACCAAACCAAAGCAAACCAAATATTCTGCTATATTTGTCTTAAATAAATATTATATTTTTAAAACGACACAGTAAAGCTGTTTGAATATACCGATCAAAATATGTAAATGTATGTCTTCCTTACTTCCGCCATTTGTTTCTCATGCTTAATTTACCGTTAAATGAGTATTGGCAAGATAATTGACGGCTTCGAAAACAATGCTGATGCAGGCAACTCTAGATGACCCTGATAAGCTACAACAAATGCTAATGCCTAGTTTATGTTGTTTAAAAATATTGATAAAAGAAGTGATACAGCTCGTGACAGGATTTTGGGGGCTGAAACAGGTGTCCAACCATATTTTCTCATTGGTCTTGTTGAAAGACTTAGCATTCGCTTTCCTGTCCATACTTCTGCATTCATCTAGGAACAATTAAACCAACAGAGAAGGGTACATGTGACTTGTAAGAAGAAGGAAAGATCTATATTCGGGTAACAATGGACTTCTTTCTGAGGCCATTGTCCAGTTAAAACTTACACCTCGAGGGTATTGTGGATTTTAGCTTCATTCATTTTACTTTGTTCAGCTTTAGCTTTCTAATGTAAACCGTATGAAAACCTGAGACATAATCGAAGATAAAACGGATTTTAGTTTTGGATTATACCTCCAGGATAGAAGTTTATCATTGTAGATTTTCTTTTACTTATTTCACTATGGAAAATTTGATGTACACATCTATACATCAGACAAATGGTGGTGAATGACAAAATAAAACAAAACCTCGTGTTTAATTCTTGAAGAAACGAATTCAAACTAATAAGGGTTTACTCAATGAGCTTAGTCTAATACACAAAAAGATATATATATATATATATGTGTGTGTGTGTGTGTGTGCGAGTGTATGTGCTATATCACACACGCACTCACGCACACACACATATATATAATTATGATGATGTTAAATGTAGAATAAAGGGTTTATTCTACATTCAACATCATCACTTGATAAGACACTGGAGGTGTTGAAACAAAATGGCTAGTTTTGTAGTGATTTTATAACATATTTATGTTATAATTTTTAAATAATTAATTATATTTGCTCTACTCTGTATTGAGCACTCTTTTTAGAATAATAATTGTTGGTTATTGGAATCTATTCCGTATACACCAATCCTATACTTGGGTGTATATATATATATATATATATATATAATTATATATAACTTCATTGATACCACCATCATTTTGTGTATCTAATTACGAAGTTCACCGCATACTATAGGCCAAAATTTCATAGAATCAATTCTCATAGTTATATTTCTTCGTGGTCGAGCGGTAAAACCACCGAATTAAACGGACATGCAGTTTCGATCCCTGTAGAGGGAAATAATCTTTACGGATTAACGTAATATACACTAATGCGTCTACTTCAAATAAGAATTGTTAATTATAATGTCTTTTCGGTTTTAATTATTTTTAATTAAATGAGAGAGAGTGTATGTGTGTGTGTGTGTGTGTGTGTGTGTGTGTGTGTATATATATATATATATATATATATATATATATATATATATATATATATATATATAAGTATTGTAATTTTTTATTTCTTAATCCAAAATATTTTTTAGTTTAGAATACCTATTTTTAAGCTTGTCTAATTTTCTTTGTAAAGCAACGTCATTTAAATAAGATAACCTCCCTTCTATTTGTGCTAGGATCGACTTCAACAAACGATTTATTTACAACTTTACTACAATTAACGGCAGATAAAGTATAATTGTATTGATCCGATTATTTAATGTGAACCTTAGATGAAATATGGACAAGTATTTTTCTACTACCGGAACGGTAGATGATAGTTAAATCTTAATAAAAGCATAAAATTTTTCTTTAAATTTGTTCCCTAGCTTCAATTTTTTTCTCTCTGTCTATCTCATCTTGTTCATTTAAAAAAAAAAGAAAAGAAAAAGAAAAACATGCGTATATAAACTTAGGATCAGTATCAACTTAACTTTTTAAATCACACTGATGAATTGATTAATATACCGGGTGCAACAGCAAAATTGTCCAAATTCTGTAACAGCAAAATTGTCCAATTGGTAGATTAAGCTTTGAACTATTGTATCTTAGAAATGATTAAAGCTATCTTACTGGAATTCTCCGAGGTTTTTATAACCCTATTGGACTCTACTTTGAGCAATAAGAATGTATGTAGTTCTAAGCTGAAATGATGATCCCTCTTGCTGTTGTTACCTCCTGATCCAGTTTTCCTCTCGATTGCTGCCTCTTTTAAAAACTTATTTACCGTTCTCTTGTTGGTTGTTGAATGGACTTTGAAGACGGAAGCCAGAGTATGAATGTTGGTACCATTGCTGAAGGTCTGAATGATCTTTTTCCTCTCACCATTGCTCAATTGGGAAGATGTAGGAGGCTGACACAAAACGAATTTAACTTGTTCGCTTTCTGTCTCAATAACTCAAAGGATCTTTTTAGTGATTCTTACAACAAATGTTGTCAAGATGACTAAACGTCTCATCTGAAAATCTGGAAAAAAGAAACTCAATTAGTTTACTGTTTTTTTTTTTTTTATATTAACTATTTTGTGGGATGGACAATTATCTCACGCTTTTACACGATTTGGACAATTTTGCTGTCACATCCGGTATATATTAAACTGTCACATATATAATTTTTTTATTTAATTTTCCACATTTCCGAATGAGAGAATGTTGTTACATTCGTTTTCAAGGATTGTTCTGTGTATATTTACGCAACTATTTTTTTTTCTAATTCTGGCGTTCTCACGTTTGACGGGATACCAATTTCAAGTCACTGTTATTAAAGACAAAATACGAAGGTGTTCAGATAAGAAATCCGTATTCACTTATCATCTCTAGTTTTTGAGATATACATGTATACATATACGTAAAAATGTATAAATGTACATGCATTCAAGACTGTCAGATGTGTCCTATTTAGTCTATTTTTTTTTAATTTTAGGAATTGTAATCTAAAAAAAAAGAAGAAGAAAACTGACATAATGACTACCCTTGCTCTTTGCGGCGAAACTCTTCAAATTCGAATTCTCGGTACTCATGGACGTAACCATTTCAATGTTTATGCTGTTTTCGATATTCTTATGAACTAATACATATCTCTACTATGGCTTCAGTCACTTCAAAACGCCGAGGATACATCAATAAGGCAAATTCATTGTCAAGTGTCTAGGGATTTCTCGACAATTGCACATCATCGTACAATTACTCCTTTCCTGGGAACTACTTACTTTCATTATTTTGATTGTAAAATTGGAGATCAGGACAAATCCTGAGTCCCACACATCTGTTGTAAACCGTGTTACAATGAAATAACTGCATAGTTCCATAATAAGATGTCAGCCTACAATTTTGCTATCCCGATGATCTGGGGAGAGCAATGAAGCCATGCAGATGTCTGTTATTTTTGTCTAACAAATACGACTGGTTTCAATGCTTCTTTTAAAAAAAATAAAATATTCCAAGCTTCTTTCAGCTATGAAACATGTTCTACACTCAGATCATCTCCTTGTACCTACACCCAGCATATAAATATCTTATCCTTTCATCATATGAAAAATTGCTTTCAGAGGATATTTCTGCCAAGACGGAGTTTTCTGAACATAGTGTCACTGTTTATTCAGGAACATGTCGCAGTGGGCCTCACTGGATTTCCCAGGAAGACCTGAATGACTATGCTCGTGATTTGTACCTATATAAGCAGCAATCAGAGCTCTTGACATCACGGCTTAAAGCAGTGGAACTTGGTCAAGGCAAATATAAGAATGATCAGTTACAGAACACAAAAAGGACTTCATCTCATTCTTCGACATAGAAAGTCTGCAGAGCTTCTAATCTTAAATGAACTGAGAGCATGGGAGGCGTTTAAGTCAGTCTGTCATGGTTTTGTCTTGGTAATACACAGGTAACAGATTACCAAGAGTGCATCGAGAGGTTGTTACAGCTTTATGAGGATACGGGACAACAAATGTCAATCACTTTCTTTACTCAAACCTCTGGCTAATCTATTGCTATTTGCATAATAAATGTTATGACGAGCTGCTAAGACCCGCCATGACACGCAAAATTGAATTAATAATTCGCTTTCCCTTTGTATTCCAATGGTAAGGAGGAAGTTCCATTCGAAAAAGCTTCTTCCTAAGAACCCTTAATTTGTGGCTCAGCTTCCTGAGAGGATGCTTCTCCGATTACTACTATCTTAACATCTTCAAGCCTAGTGTAAACTGTTATCTATCATCATAATGTGCACTTCGCTCATAATGTGCTTACGCTCATAGAACAACATCATTTAGCTACTCTGAGTGACTCTTGTGCCTTGTGTTGGGTAAAGGATTAAAAAAACGGTCAAGAATAAGTTTCTAATTTTTTTCACAGTAGAGTTTACTCTGTACAAGGCCCATTGGCAGCTCAAGGTAGAGGACTGCTTTAGGTGGCAATTTATGTGGGTAAGAGGGGAAGATAGTGGTTAACACTAGACTTGAACAGTTTAAGATTGTAATGATCGGAGAAACAACCTCTTGGGAGTCGGTTCCACGGAGCAGGGAAAAAACTGTTTGATCGGACCATTTGAAAATAAATATCGGTGAAAAAATCAATGAAATTTTCACATAGAAAAATTTTAAAATAAAATATAAATATGATCTGATATAGAAAATAAAATGAAAGCTATGATGAGTAAAATAAAGAAAGTAAATACTGAAATAAATTCATAAGATTATTTTTATTTTATTTTTAGTTCACAGTAAGGTTCACCTTGTACAAGGCCCGGAGGCCGACGTGGTAGAGGGTTACGTTAAGAGGTAATTTTTGCTGATAGGAGGGGAAGTTAACGGTTAAACCTAGCCTTGAACAGGTTAAGATTGTAGTGATCGGAGAAACATCCTCATGGGAGTCGGTTCCACGGAGCAGTGATTCGCGGAAAGAAGCTGTTCGGGTGGAACTTACTTCTCCCTAATTGAACACAAGGGTGAATGTGGGTGGTTTGGTACAATATAAGTGGTATGGCGGGTCCTGACCGTGAAGATTAGACCTGGTGGAACCAAGGAATGTAGTTCGTCCGATCACTTTCCGTGGAAGTAGCGTCAGATGAGTGAGAGGCTCACCACATCCCACCTGTGAAAGAAAGATTGGAGGGTGGGAAATAATTTGTCACCCACAAGGACTCAGAGACGCTTTTGGATTCTATCGGGACTGGAAAGGAAGTTCTTTTGTATATTTATTTCAAGTTCAACTCGAATTGTCTTCATTGGAAAAAATATCAACAGCTATTTAGCGATTGACAACACTTTGTGCCTTCAGGCCGTGGACAGTTAAAGTTCTCCACAACTTCCTGTCCTTTGAAATTTTAAGCAGTGTTTGCCACTTTACTAACTTCTTAATTTCTATTCTGCCATTTTTAAAAATCTTTTCACTTCAAGCAAGGTGGGAATGCTACTGGTACGCAGGGGATTACAGAGAGTGAAGGTGTATAGCCGGGACCGAGGAAAGGATAAGAGCTGAACGGGGTTCAGAAGATAGATGATGGCCATTGACGTTGCATTTAAATTTTTGAAGATTGTAGTTATCAAGGAATCAAAGAAACTGGTGGGAGTTCCACAGGCGAGCAGTGCGAGAAAAGAAACGGTTCAAGTAGAAGTGGCGATTACATTTAACTAATTCAGCAGTAAAAGAGTGGGACCTAAGTGCCAATCCAGTAGCACGTTTAAACTCACGTAGTTCTATTTATGCAAGCTCGTTACTTGATGTTTCCCTCTGACTCTTATGAACTGTGAGTGTCAAATTTACCAAGACCTCTTTCTGTTTTTTTTCTTTCTCGTAGATTTCCGTTAGAAAATAAGAAAAGGCTATTTAATTCTTCCTCTTATATGAATGCAGGGCAATCTTCTCACAGACCTGAAGCAACAGAAACATGGTTCTTCAGAAGGATGCTGAGGATACAATGGAAATAACATGTGAGCACCGACAAAGTTTTATAGAAAATGGAAACAAAATTAAACTTAACATCCGGAAAATACAATTGGAATTTCTTGGGAACATAATGAGGAAAGAGTGTTTGGAAAATTTGATACTCACAGGAGAGATTGCAGGGACAGAGGAAAACAAAGTATAACCTGGCGAGCTTGTGTAAATAGATGGCGGACAAAGGTTTAGAACAGATAACAAGCAGGCAAATTTATTAAGGACAGGGATATGTGGAGGGCTTTGATTGCCAATGTTCTGAGGGACACGGCATATAGAAGAAGAAGAGAAAGAAGAAGAAGAAGAAGAAGAAGAATAAAGAAGAAGAAGAAGAATAAAGAAGGAGGAGCAGAAGAAGAAGAAGGAGAAGAATAAAGAAGAAGAAGAATAAAGAAGAGAAGAAGGAGAAGGAGAAGCAGAAGAAGAAGAAGAAGAAGGTGGAGAAGAAGAAGAAGAAGAAGATGATGATGATGATTATTTCCTTGTTTGTCGATAAACAATTCGTCTCAAAGAACAAATCAAAGTCGTTTGCACAAATTCCAGAACACCATTCCCACACAGACCTTTAGTTCCTGATTCTAATACCCAATTGGGTTATTTTGGTCTAAAGGAAACAATCTAACTCTTATTATTGTCTCTTATATTATCACACGCTTTTTTTTTGTCTGAGTGAGATACGGCCGGCTTCTCGGCTACTTTGAGAGTGTAATTTGAAATGTCGATGTTAGCAAAAACGAATGCAGACTCGAATACAAACGATTTACCTCGTCAGAATTTTAAATATCCGTCATTTTAGCATGAACAAGATGACAGGTAAAGAACGACCATTACGTGGTATTATATCTCGCGCCAACAGAAAATGACCATTTATATTCAAGATCGTACGACAATAGCCGATAAGATGCCGTACATCAATCTACACATGATTTTTAATAGATAACTATGGGAGTTAAAAGCCTGAAATTTAAGATTGAAAGTAGAGGAAACACATTTCTGCATGCGCCAACTTGGTAGGTAATGTAGTTATCGGACATTGGTTCGCTGAATCTGAAGCATACAATCAACCAAACATCTATATATATATATATATATATATATATATATATATATATATATATATATATATATATATATATATATATGTGTGTGTGTAAAAATATATAGAAAATAGGAAAGAACTCGTTAGGTAAATAATCCAAAGTTCTTTAGTATTTTTGTTATTATTTTTTAAAAAATAGTGCTCGATACAAAAGTAGAGCATAAATATATATAACAGTGATAGAAATTTTTAGAGGTATTTGAATAATCATATTAAAGTAATTTATCGAGTCTAGAAGAATCGTCAACAGAATGTAGAAAGCACAAACGGCTGTATCGTCCTATATTTGGGACACATCAGCATGTGCATCCACTACTGAGAATCGAACCCGGACCGTTACGACACGACAACAAACGTCACGCCCACTAGTTAAACGAAGAGATAACTAACTAGATTAGTTATAGCGCTGCTCACACTAAAATCCGCGGTGTAACTCATCCAACTAAACTTAACCTAACGGATTGTGGCCCCAAGAAGTCACGTCTTCTTTCCCTAAGTTGCCTCCTCTAGAGCATTAGAAGCCGATTCAAGCAAGTATATATCAATGATAGAAATTTTCAGGGATATATATATATATATATATATATATATATATATATATATATATATATATACATACAATGTAACCCGGATATAAGAGAGTTGTCGGGACCGGAGAAGAAGTCTCTTATATCCGGATTTCTCTTATATCTGGGTTTGGTCTATTTTATATACATTAACACAATTTGGGACCAGAGAAAATCTCTTATAACCGGGTTTCTCTTATATTCAGGTCTCTTATATCCGGGTTCTGGTTATATATATATATATATATATATATATATATATATATATATATATATATATATATATGCGTGTGTGTTTGTTTCAAAAAATTCTAGTATATATATATATATATAAAATCAACTATGGAATCTCTACAAATATCCTTAAATGTCTGTAGTTGGTGACGGAGGCTATTGGTTTGTGCCAACGGCCTTCCATAATTCATACTTCTCCAATTCACTCTCACGTGGTCATGTATGACGTCATGAGATGCGGTGCGATTTTCGCTTCTAGCGTCTTATATGCACGTGTTTATCGTTGCTTAGAGATCCTCTATGTAAACATTCACAGACTGTCATCACTGTCTTGTCCGTATATTGCTTAATATGTTGTAATTGACATCTTTGATAATGGCTTATGTAAGCCGAAAGATTAGATTGTATTAAAAAAAAAATAAAAATATGGATCAATATTGTGAATTTCTTTCTTCGTTCAATTATAATGTTATTAAACTTATTAGACGTTATGAAAAGAGTTTACATAAAATAAATAGACAACACTTGTCTATATTATTTAATGAAACGCGTATATATATATATATATATATATATATATATATATATATATATATTCATTTTTTTCATTAAATAATATAGACAAGTATTGTCTATTTATTTTAGGTAAATTCTTTTCATAACGTCTGAATTTTACATAAAATAAATAGACAACACTTGTCTATATTATTTAATGAATGAATGAAAAATGCTGCCTAAATACACACAATATATATATATATATATATATATATATATATATATATATCGGAGAATTTTTTAAATACGCTGACTCGTGATGAAATCCTCATAGAAGTCAGTATTGTTGAAGTTATCGCTAAATTTTTTGTCGAGATTTAAAAACTCTACGCTTGTTTGAATTTCGAAAACCAAACGGTGAAATTTGAATAAGCTGATTTATTTTGAAAAAAATACGTTCATAAAAACTCTACTTCGCGGTTTTTACGCACCCATTTAAAACTAAAGATACTTTGTACCCTCTTACCTGTTGACACTTCTCAAAATTTGGCCAATGTATGACTATTTTAGAGTGTGTGACGTACGGACAGACAGACGGACTATTGGAGTCGCAACATACATATATATATATATATATATATATATATATATATATATATATATATATATATATATATATATATATATATATATATATATATATATATATATATATATATATATATATATATATATATATTATTACCTATCGGAATAGACTATTTCACACCGTTCTTCAACGGCTTTCCTCAGTCTCTAAGTACTTTTCTCGGAGCACTTATTTATTTTTTCAAAGCCAGTCTCTGGTTAATCGAAGTGGGGTTGTATTAGTGATTGATGGGGGCGTAAGGTATCTTTTCTCGGGAGAGGCGGTTTCGGTTTATTTATGACTAGGAATTTTTATTGTAGTTTATTTGTAGTTTAAGATGAATTCCTACTATATAGTGCTTCGTATTAAGGTCCCGGAGTGGGTTTTTCTGGGATTCACAGTAAATAGTTTTTGTACTACCAGGCGATGCAGGATTTACGCATAAGTCCTTTAAGGTTAATGTAAATTAGTTGAGTTATATATTCAGAGATTGTGGCTAATACCAGTGCACCCAATGGAATAATTCGTGTAGTCTATTCCGATGTTGAGGCAATTTTTTTTTGTTTTTCCTGTAAAAAATACATATGCTCTGTTGAAATAAAAACATCGAGCTCTCTGTGGATCGGTTTTAATAATTACTAGGATTATATACCAACGGATCGATTACCTGTACTATATATATATATATATATATATATATATATATATATATATATATATTGCACATTACTGGTGTTAAGACAATAGTGCTCGATGTATATTAACAGTTTTCAATCTGAACTTGACGTTTGCGTTGTGCATGAAACTCAGAATTATGCTACCGGTGAACAATACATATATATATATGAACACTCAGAAGTAACAGGCTGCTTCAGGCTAGACACAATCGTCAGGCTGTGTGAGTTGGATCTTTTCCTCGACTATTTATATATATATATGGGGCAGTGGTTCATTGTGGGTAATCTATTCTGGCGGTTATTTTGGCGGGATTGGTTTGTTTATTTATTTGTTTTAATCATTTAATTTATTTTACTTGGTTTTCATTTTCATTTTTTTTACATGTGGGTTTAATTTCACTAATCAAACAGATAGCAAAAAATCGATTAACCGTAGGCTTACCGACAATTCTTGCAATGAAACCATATTTAACGATGATAAGAAAGACTACGAAACATCCCTAAAAGATAGTGGATTTCCGACAACACTGACATACTCACCAGAGAGCACAAAAAAGCCAACAGGAAGAGAAATGGTTCAACCACCGTACAGGAAAAACCTGAAAACAAACGTAGGAAAAATATTTATATTTACATACGCTCTATCTCTGATCAGAGCACTTTATCCCATAAATATAGCACACATTAAAACTATAATATATATATATATATATATATATATATATATATATATATATATGATCAATATCTATCTATCTATCTATCTATCTATCTATCTATATGTGTGTGTGTATATATATATATATATATATATATATATATTTACCAATTTTCAAAAGGATAGAATCCAGATAGAACTCAATGTCTAGGACAGAGTAAGAATATAATATAAATGGTTCAAATACTAATATTCCATGGTTATAATTTATAACATTGGAATCCCAATGACGATCAATTTATCAGATTTACAAATTCAAAAAAGACTTGTATTTGTAGGTTTGATGAATTGGATCGAGATTACGATTCCAAAGTAATAAATTATAACCATGGTATTATTTGTGCTATATATATATATATATATATATATATATATATATATATATATATATATATATATATATATATATATATATGTAACATGTATTCGTCCCCAAACGTTTGATTAAAAAAGAACCGGCAAGGTCTGTCTGTTTAATATTTTTTTTATAGTATTTTTCTAATTTTCGACTCAGATTCAAAATCTTAGTCGAATTTTTGATTTTGACGTTGAGCGTAAACTGCCCGAAGTTTATATTTTGTTTGTTTTTGTTCATATACTTTCAACCATTATCATTATTCAGTCATTATCAAGAACCAATATGGTGATTGTGCGATAATTCCTTTGTCTACATAATGGCATTTTTGGAAAGAGGGAGCTACGAATGTATGTGTGTGTTATGGGGCAGATGGCGGTTCTTAAATCGTGATAAAGACAACAATTCGAGGAGGTGTTACTTTTGGTATAAACCTAAGCTCTTCTATTATTCTCTATGTCCATGTGCAATAAATCAGAGTAGATTTGACTCTCCAACTCAGTCAAAGAAACCTGAAGAGAGCGAAACTCTGGAATAAAACATTTGACAGAAACTCCAGCCATCTTGAGTTTGTAGCACGGAGTTTACTGAAAAGTGTTCCGTTTAACAATGGCAGGAAATTCATATCGTGAACGTGCAGATATGATTTATACGGTGGCGCGATTGGTAATGAACACGAGGCTGCACGGATGTATCAGATTATTTGCTGCTATTTATTGTCGCATTGCTGAGGCAAGATTCATGGCAGCGCAAACAAGGGATATAGGAAGGCCGAGATAAGCTCGTTCGCCTGACCATGAAGAACACATTATACAGGCTGTCGGAGACGATCCAGGATTTGTGAACGCATGTTCATTTGGATTTTCTTTGAGTTTTAGAGTGAGGAGCCCTCCCAACCAATGTTTGTATAAGTATTTTGATACACACACACACATACACACACACATATATATATATATGTATATAAATATGTATA